GCCATGTTAACAGCATCATCTGTCGATCTATTTGCTCGGTATGCAAACTGCATGGGATCTAACAGCGGATCTGTGATGGTTTTCAGGTGGGACAGCACAAGCCTTTCAAAGATTTTCATAACTACAGATGTTAGAGCAACTGGTCTGTAGTCATTCAGTTCCCTGACGGAGGTCGTCTTTGGCACTGGGATGATAGTAGAACGTTTGAAGCAAGAAGGAACATAGCACATCTCTAGTGATTTATTGAAGACTTGGGTGAAGATGGGGGCCAATTGGTCAGCACAGACTTTTAAGCAAGTAGGAAGATAGCTAAAGATAGCTGTTAATGACTTTGGCTGTATGTTTGGGGCCACTGTCCTGCTTTAGAATAAATGTGGGGCTAATCACATACCTCTCTGATGGTATGGCATGATGGATAAGTATCTGTCTATATTTTTCAGCATTGAGGACACCATTGATCCTGCCCAAAATTCCATCTCCATTTGCAGATATGCAACCTCAAACTTGCAAGGAACCTCTATCATGCTTCATTGTTGCTTGCAGACACTCATTATTGTATTGCTAACCAGCCCTTCGGTGAACAAACTGGCTCCTGTTACAGCCAAATATCTCAAATTTTGACTCATCAGTTCAGAGCAGTTTCTGCCATTTTTTGCACCCCAGTTCCTATGTTTTCAGGCATTGTTGGGTTGCTTCACCTTGTTTCCATGTGAGGGGTATAGCTTTTAGATCACAATTCTTCCACAAAGACCACTCATGGCTATACTTCTCCAGACAATAGATGGGTGTACTTGGCTTCCACTGCAAATTCTGTACTCATGGCACTGATGGACATCTTCTGATGTCAAAGAGAAGTAAGCATGATGTATCTTTCATCTGCTGTATTAAGTTTCTTTGGCCAATCACTGTTTCTATGGTCCTCAACATTGCTTATTTCTTTGTGCTTCTTCAAAAGAGCTTGAACAGCACATCTTGCAAACCCAGTCTGCTTTGAAATCTTTGCCTGGGAGAAAACTTTCTAATGCAGTATAGCCACCTTTTGTCTTTCCCTGTGCTCAGTTTTGCCATGGTGTATGACTTGTAACATGAAACTGTCTTCTATAACTTCACCTTAGTAGCAGAGTTTGGCTTTCTCATCCAGTTTTAAGTCTCTTACACAGCTGTTTTAGTTAACGACTGTGTTCAACTTACATATAAAATTGATGTGCATTAGCACCTTCTTGGTATAATTGTTTAATCATACACCTGTAATATTACAAAATGACTTTGACTTTGTGCAAGTGTGCAAGTGTAAGAATTGATGCTGTTTTGAAGGCAAGGGGTAGTCAGTCCAAATATTGATTTGATTTAGATTTCTCTTCTGTTCATTTACTTAATAAACTATTAACACTTCAATTTCTGAAAACATTAATTTACAGCATTTTTTCACAACTCCCTAACACTTTTGCACAGTGCTGTATGTACGTTACTCTCTGTCTCTATTTCTCTCTCTCTCTCTCTCTCTCTCTCTCTCTCTCTCTCTCACTCTCACTCTCACTCTCACTCTCACTCTCACTCTCTCTCTCTCTCTCTCTCACACACACACACACACACACACACTTTCTACCTCGGTACTCAAGTGCTTCAAAACTCATTCAATTTGGTAAAACTCATTCAATTTGTTATTCAAAATATTTTGATGCGAAAATGTCCCGGCACTTGTCATTTGTTTGCTACTCAACACATTGTAATAGGTAGAGGGGAACGGCCTTGATAGCAGACAGGAAGTTAGCCAAGCCAGAAAAGCCACTGTAAAAAGAAGTGGGAATGGCTTCAGAGGGTGGACAGTAGGTTGGCCATGCTGGGAAGATTGTTGACATAGAAAAGGAACAGATAGGAAGTCCTTCCTGGCTGAAAAGAGTCACATGTTAAGTCATGTGGTTTGTTTGGTACTCATCTTTTTTAGTACTCATCATGCTTCCTGGAACCAATTAACATTGAGTACCAAGGCACCATTGTTCATACACAAACACACACACACACACACACAATAACATAATCCTACTTACATTGGATTTCACATGCTTATTTCTATTAACTAAGAATAGGACTGCAAAATAATTATATTAATATTATATTAAATTTATCATGTATTCTGAACAATAAGCAGTATAGAAATGTACACACGCTTCTTAAGCATGTATTTTTTTAAAATACAGAGACATTGGAAAGGGGATGACAAAGACATGTGTTAAACAATAGAGAAATCATATTGTATTTTCTTTCTGTAAAATGGTATGTTTATGAGAATTTGAAAACGAATTAGAAATTTAAATATGTGAACAGTGAGGTCTAACCAAACAATAACAATATAACCACATTAAGAATAATTATTACATCCACATAAATAGAATGCAAATAAATTAACAGTAATGACCTCACTGTCAAAGGTTACTTTGGGAATAAAAATGAAATGAGAGAAGTAGTAAAAATTAAAAATCCAATATTAGTTATACTGAATAACTGCACAATGCATTGATTACTAAACAGTACTAATAAAAGGCTATGCAATCTGATTCTTGAGCAATAAATTGTATATACAACAAAAGATAAATAAGCATTATCGGACTATTAAAACACTATTAAAAATGCTGTAATAGCATGTTTGGCACACATATTCTGTGGCACGCAGAAACTGCTTAAGAAGCCCATCATGGTCTATTTGTTTATTTGAATATTATTGTATTTTCTACAGAAATTCACAGTATAATTTTATCAACAACAAGGTGATTTAAAATGTATCCCTTTTTATGACAGATTATTTAAAGAAAAGCAGCAAAGAAATGATAAATCAATGTAAAAATAAGTTGGCCCTGTAATGTTAAGTTTTGAAGTGTTGGCTCCCAGTGCAACAATGGGTACATACCACACAAAAACAGTAGCTCTACATCACATTAAGATGGTTGATTAGAAAGCACCATGACTTCAGTTTGGGGCATACTAGTTACCTGGACTAAGCTTTCTTGATGTCGGATGCAATTACTTCTCAACTTTAGCTTTGATCCTGATATCCCATATCCTTCTATTTATAAAAAGCAATTGGCATCTTTAGAACAAAAGGAGTCAGTTGACTTTTTTCCCCCTGCAGTTTCTGGTTTGTTTCTCTTGTCACTATAGGTTTTTTTCAACCCCAGTTCTAAGCTGCTTATTTAGCTTTATCAGATTCACTCTATGATAAAGCATACACACAAAACAGTACTGAAACTGGAGTGCCTTATCTCACTCAATAAAAGAAGGATAATCCCTCATAGACAATCTTCACTTAAGAAAAAGCACAACAGCTGTAGTCTCCTAGAAGTCCACAAATTTCCTGAAGGTCATTTTATTAGCTTGCTTGCTTATTGATTAGTTTGTTTGACTAATATTAGCTGCCCATTGTATTGCATCATACCCATGGGTGGCTTTCCAACAATTAAAACAGAAAAAAAGGTAAACCAGGAGTATTCAATGACATACATATTAAATATCACTGGTGTCTGTATATCCAGACTATTCCAGCCATGTTAATGAAGTGAAAGTTCTTTATAAGCAAGTATTTCTGAATGAGTGTATGTTTTCACACTGCTATTTATTGGAGGAAATGTTTCTCAGTAATGCTACAGAAGACAATGAGTATATGCTGTATATTTCACTATTCTTACTGCCAGCTTCCTCTGAGCAGATCTGAGGGTGCTCTGTGTGATGGCCGGTAATCAGTGATCTGGATTGCACCTAAAAATCCTCAGACTGAAATTGCAATCCCCATGCTTTTAAAAAATATGTTTCAGTCCCATATTGCATTATCCTATGTATGTTATTTGGATTTATTTTAAAAGTGAATGTTTTACTTGCCTTTTGCTATGCACATATTAAATATGTATTTTCACAGTGATCCAAAGACTTAAACTGTCTCAGCATGAATTTTTTTTTCTGATCAGAGGTAAACTCAAAATATCTTTATGAATGGCAAAAATAAAAGTATGATTGAACAATGCTATGTATATCTGAACAAATTGGTTTTGGTTTTTATTTATTGGATTTTATTTTTAATTTCAGTATAAAATATTAGGAAAGTCCTTAGGTGTTGAATATTGTTGCCAACTTATACATCAAAAATATTCTACAATGCCTATATATTACATGGCAAAATCATTTCATATTCATAACTATAGCACTTAGACTTATATACCACCCATAGTGCTTTACAGCATTCTCTGAATGGTGTACAAACTCACCATATTTTCCTTAACAATCTGGATCCTCATTTTACCAATCTTGGAAGGATGGAATGGAAGGCTGAGTCAACTTTGAGCTCCATCAGGATCGAATTCCAGGCTTTGGGCAGAGTTTGCCTGCAATTCTACATTCTAGCCATTGCACCCCCATTAAATTCTAATTGTAGAACTTTTGACTTTTCCCCTTTGAACAGCAAACCCAAACTATAGGTGATAAATTATGTCTATGATTTTTTTTTCTTATTTTCAAATACAGTAGTTTTGCCATGAAATATTAATGGCAACTTCTTGTATTTCTTGGGATCCAGATTCAGTATGGTTAGGGTTAAAACGTATCTTGAATATCTTATATTGAATTTCACAAATGTTTTCATCACATGTCCATTTCTTAAACAATTTTCATAAAAGTCCATTTGATCTATCATGTACTGAAAATTGAACTCTCAATGTAAAGAAATAATAAATACATACCAATTTCATCTTTTCAAATGTAGTCAAACTAACTGCATTAACACAAGATAACAGTTTTTCCCCACTAGCATTTTTTTTAAATTGTTGGAATATTTTTAGATTTATGTTTCTGTGGAATTTGCAACCTTTATTTTTCCAGTACAAATGTTGACTTTTTTGTGTGTATTACATTTTTTTTCTTTTGCAATTTCCGGATCGTTTTCTTTAAATTTTGGGGAATTTGCTTTTTTCAAATTATCTTTTTTCCCTTTATTCTCCTGCTCCCTCTGAACCTAGGAGCCAACACAAAGAAAAGCACAGATGATATAACCAGTACTGATCGTGGGGAAGATGAAGGTATTTTTGTTGTTGTTTTTTCCCCCCAAAAAACTCAGTCCTGATATGCATGAATATAAATTTTTCCCCTTCTTTATTTAATCACCCACATTTTGGTGTGGTGTTTTATTTTTGTCTTATCTAAAATCCACCTTCCTTTTTTTTCTAAAATACAAATTAGCATTTAAATTACTGCAATTCCTATTTGAGATAAGAGTTCAAATTATCTGTAATATCTGTGGAGTGACATAAACGTTATTTACAACCAAATGCTTATTCCAATTCCCAACTTTTAATTGGGAAGAAAGAAATGGAACTGAAACCTTGCATGTTCTGTATAGTTTCTTTTTCTTTTCTCTTTTAGTAGCTTGTAAATTCACCTTCACATTATTTTTCTTCTCTTTCCCTTATACTGGATGCAATTACACTTCCCTTGGGTTTCTTTTTTTCTTTTTTTTCTTATCTTCAATATGTAACAAGTCAAGGAAATTCAGTGATGTTTTCTAACTTGCTTTGTTTTATTTTTTTTTGAAGCTTCCTTCTTTTGCATGTAATTGAGACAAAATTGCCTCTACCATTTATTCCCGCATTTCTCTTGAAAAGCTATTTTGTGAGTTTATACAATAGTCAACAAATTATACCTGTCCTATTTGGAATTCTATCACTTGCATGTTATTGTAAAATTGCAAGGAAACCTATTTCTGTAAATGTTTTAATAGAATCTGTGGGATGTTATTAGTACAGCTGCTCAGGCAGTATCAGCCATGACAAACTGGTAGGTATATATATTTATTTTTAGGGATATTCTTTAAATTACTTGATAATGATCAAATGCAAGGGAATTGGAACTTTCCTATGGATTTAGTGAATTCTTGCAGAGGACTATATTGTACTATGCAAAAATGCCTTTCTCTCTCTAGCTAAAATAAGTCAGAAAGTTGTATACATTATAGGAGGCTAGTTTTATTTTATTTTTACCTACATAGCTTTTCAAATTCAGCCAGAACCTTTTTGAAATATACGTCTTTGATATATTGTGATGGTTTTTCAGACTTAAAATAAACATAGCCAACATTACATTTCATGATAAAAGTTTGCACTAAATAGCAAACTTTTATCATGAAATGTTTTCTATCTACGGTTACCTTTCCATGGGGTGATATGTTGGGATATGAAGCCTGTATAGGATCCATGTGAAATCAGGATTGAAACTTGTGCCATAAATATGAAATTTGAGGAATTGTTTACTTTAGACAGCTTCTCTTGTTATAGTCTTGTTTTAGGATTATCACCTGATTTTTCCTTAATTTTCATATCTGAAACATTCTACACCTATTTATCAATTTGTCTTTCTATTCAATTCCATTCAGAAATATGCATAGTATGGTGGGATCGCTTTTTAATATCCTGCTTCTGATGATACAGAGTAATTATTTTTTTTTTAGAAATGTAGCTGCTGAAATATCTGCTTCTTGGGTAATGCAACTGTTATCTTATTTCCTTGCAGTCTTCAACTATTTCCAAATAATGAAACTAGGTGTTTATACCATATTCAAATATAGGATTATGGAATCCCAGGAACAACTTAATTATAGTTATAAGATTACTTCATTTCCCATTGAAAATTCTTGCATGAATATAATAACAACATATTACAATATGTGATATTTCTAAAAAAATATTCTTTTTTATTTCAATCTATAGCTAAGTAAACAGATCTGAACTATTAACTGATAACATATTGTCCAGACAAATACATCTTTGTTCCTTTTGATTGTGATCCAAATTTACTTCTAGTTAATAAGTTCATTAATTGTAAAAGCAAATAAGTCTTCAAAGAAATATCAAACCAGCAAAGCCAGTTTTTGCAATGCTTAGTAATCTGTTGTATGGTTATTTGGAATAGACTGTGAAATGTGTCTTGATCTTGATTTATTATGCTACTCTATATAGCATAAAATAGTCATTCAAACCAATGGCAGTACCCTTTGAATGATACCAGGGCTCGCTTGAACTAGCACGCCTGGTACATTGGGTGAAAATAATGGTCAAGAATATGTAAGACAAATTGTTCTGTAAAGGCAATTCAGGGAATAAGTGCTGTTTAAATTGGCATTGATTAATTGGCACAAGTCATTTTGCTGACTACCTGAAACTTAACACTATATTAATTGTCAATGGTAGTAGAAATGGAAAAGCTAAGCAGGGTTGGATATGATTAGTTGTTGGATGTAGGATTACCAGTAAAGTAAAGTTAGAAGTTGAAAAGAACATTCTAAAAGAAGGCAATGGCAAAACATATTTATTATACAATGTATCTACTGCTGTACTTTTCTGCGTCTTAGTAGCTTGTGTTACATGGACAAACAGTGTGCTTTGAAAGAAGGAATAATGTATCTGTCAAAAAACATTATTCTGCCTCTATTTTTTGTACTCTGAATATTAGTTTATGGTGAGAGAGGTAATAAGAATGTCAGTTTGTTATGTTCAAACATTCTTTATTTCATAAATTGCAGAAAATATGTTTAATGAGCTAATTGAATATTAGAAATGAATATTGCACTGTGGATTTTCTAACAGCAGTTTTAAATCTATTTTTACGTTGTTTGCAATATATATTTTACATATTTGAGTATTGGGAATATTCTAATACCTTTTCATTCCTAGAGTCAACTATATTCTGTATAAATGATATTTTAGATATTTTTTTCAAAGTTATTCTAGAAATCATATTTGTTTATGTTATTAGTTATAAATGAAGAGAAGTAGAGGTGATCATATAAGAAATACAGTTGAAATGAGAAAATATGCAAAATAACTAATTAGCTCTTTGGGGGTGAAAAAAAACTATGATTTTTTAAATTTAATACTTGTATTACTTTCTTGTGTTTTCCTTACTTGTATTCTTTTCAGATATACACGATCAGAACAGCAAGAAACCAGTGATGGTCTATATTCATGGTGGATCATATATGGAAGGTACAGGGAATATAGTTGATGGCAGCATACTAGCAAGCTACGGAAATGTCATTGTTGTAACCATCAACTACAGGCTAGGGGTTCTAGGTAAGTGATTGTTTTTCCTCTCTTATTCCTTTTTCCCTAGCAACTTTTCTCTCTTTCTCTCATTAAATATCATTAGTTCCTGATTTCTTTTATACTTAACATAACTGTTTTTTTTCTGATACTAAAAAAAAAAAATGCCTTTGGCTATTCATTCAGCAATGAGCCTCACTGGACTCAATGAGACTTTTTTTCAAGTATCTGCCTATATACAATCTTAAACCATTGAATCCATATGATGTATTTTAACTTTATTTATTTTTTGTATTGATTAGGTGTGGGGACTCTTTTTAACCCCAGTTAATGTGGTATGGTAAAGATAATGCTTTGCCATGTTGGAACATTTCGTAGTCTAAGATTCAAAATTATGACTATACCTTTTTATGACTGCACCACATCATTGCTCTTGTATTCTAAGGAATAAAGACTTGGTCTATGTTTTGCAAATTCAACTAGATAATCTTGTTGTTGGAACCCAGTTTTGCTCAACTTCTTTCCCTCTAATTTTCTACTTCAGTTCCATAATTCCAAGCTACAATGGCTCAAGAAGTTGATAGCAAAACATTTTAAGGAATTGTGAAAGGGTAATATATAGCTTCCTTGTGACTTTTTTTTTCTAAAGTGCAGAAAATTGATTAATGAAACCAATTCATATTGTTGAGAATATTCTCTTTTTGTGGCTGTTTCTTATGGTGCAGAACTCAAAAGCTATGTGGTGTAATAAAGGTTATCTCGACTTATGACCATTCATTTACCAATCATTTGAAGTTACAATGGCACTTAAAAAAATGACTTACAACTAGTCCTCACATTTATGACAGTCAAAGTCTCCCAGCAATCATGTGATTGCAGTTCAGACACTTGACAATCAGCATGTATTTATGATGGTTGTAGTGTCCCAGGGCCAAATTATTGCTTATTGAGACCTCCCAGACAACTTTCGACTATCAATATCTATTAGGAAACCAACAGGAAAGTTAGAAATGGCAATAATGTGATGTCTTGCTTAATGACCATGATGATTTACTTAACTACCACAACAGAAAAAGGTGTAAAATCAGGTGGTTTCACTTAATAATCCCACCACTTAACAACATATGTTCTGTTTCCAATTGTGATCATAAGTGAAACACAATTTGTAATATCAATTCAAGATGGCTACACTAAGTTTTATTGTAACTCAGTGACGTCTATATTTCCTCCCAGTAGAAAGCTTCCTTATAATCACTCTTTAAAATTCATTCCAATAACGTGCACTAAAAAAAACTATGCTGGAATACTTTTTCTTTTATTTGTAAATGTGTTCACAGATATAGTTGTATTTGTATTTTGAGCAAAGGGAAGGAAGATAAAATGTAAGATTTACTACTACTTAGAAAAATGCATCTCTTGCTACAATTGAATTATATTTCCAGATTTTAAACACTATGAACAAGTGTACTTGGTAGTCTCTGAAGGTCAGCATGATTTACTCACTGGCATTTGAGTGAATTTATGTCTGCTTTTAAGCTTTCTCAAAAATATTAAATAGCCCTGTTAAAACTTGCAAAACATTAGACACTAACTAGTTGCTTCTTGTTAGTATACTGATCAATTTGTAAGAAGATAGATATCTACATGCACAAATTCATACACACATATGTTGTATCAATGTCTCTTTATTTCTTTTCCTGTTTAAAAAAAATCACAGAATGATCTGTTTCTTTCAATTAGCTGAAACACCTTTTCCACTAGCATATGACTAAGATCATATATATAAATAAATATATTCTAACTTCTGTTATGAATTTTTTTGTGTATGAGATACCAGTTATGATTTTGTTTTCAATGAAATTCCACCCAAAAGAAATATATTCAGTATATTGCAAATGCGCACATAATGTCACATATTATTTTATGGATATGATAAAATTTGGATTTAATCCATTTTTCTGCAACTACAGTTTTCTGATGTGACAAAATAATATCACAGTGACTGTATATCTCTTTACTGTTACGAATCTTGAACTATTCAAATGCCAGGAACACCTATACACAAAACAATTAATATTTTGATTTCATTGTCTGAATTTTAATACTAAGTGACTGAGGCAATTCTCAGAATTGGAATGGTAGGAAAATATTTGGTAATACTGTGTTTCTCACAAAATAAGGCCGGGCCTTATTTTTATTTTTTATTTTTTTTATTAATTTCTTCTTTAATTAATAATTTTCAAACAGTCAGAAACACACTACAGTTATTGTGAATATCGAGATTTCATCATACTCAACTCATCAATCTATATTTTCTACTTCTCTGTTTTTCTCCCATGAGCTGTTCAGAGCATCCAGTAGTGGGAGGTGCTTCAGTCTCTGCATGTGTAGGCTGGGCTTAATTTGTGGAACGCTCCTCCTCCTCCACGGGACTCCTCCCCAGCGTTCCCCAGTTTTTGCTCAGCCTCATGAGAGATAGGCAGTGCTTGTGATTCTTCCTTGGCCGAAACAGGAAAAATTCTTTCATCGCAGCAGGTTTGACAGTTAATACGCTTTTCTTTAGCCGTCTATTCCATTCCGATTTCTCAAATTGGCTCGCATTGTAGAGTTCGCAGCCAGACAGGTCCGTCTTAGGGAAGCGCCAATTCGTGCCCCAAAGTGGCAGGAAGGTTTTTTCAGCGCTGCTCGTGCCCCCTCCTCACAGCCGATATTCTACCCCTGCCATTTCGAACGATAGTCGTAGCGTTGCCTTTTAATCGATCAGCGACGTGATTTTTCACTCCAAACTGAGTTGTATCGCTCTTCCCCCTCTCCGAACGCCATTTGAAGGGGAGAATTCAAACTCTTGATAACTTCCACCTTTTCCCGCCGCTTAGCTTAATAGAAAGAGCCACCGGTGGCTATTCACTTACAAGGCGGGAAGTTGCCGCTTGAGGAGCGCGCCAAAAGTTTAATGGCCGGAGGCCATTTTGTGCTGT